CAACGATTGGATCTACTTGCATCGACATCCACTATGTCTTGTGTCTTGTCCATGGAACAGATCGGTCCATACACCCTGATCACAATACCGGCCAACTGAGGTGCCTTGTCCGTATGGATGTCCTCTTCTTCACTTCATCGTGACCTCTACTTCTGTATTTCTATGTACTCCTGACATGGATGATACACCTAGGCAACACACATACAACACAACAAGGACAAAAAACATAAAACATAACACACACAACAAAGCGCAATACAACACAACACAACAACACACGACATACACAACACAACAACACAACAGCACACAACACAACAGACACAACAACACTCGACATACACAACACAACAACAAAAAAATAACACAACACACAACACAACAAATAAAAAACACAAAACACACACAACAACATACACCAGCGTTTAGTATCGTCGTAATAAATTGAAAACAACCACACAACAACCTTTTTATTCTACTCATTCTAAAAGAATACTAAAACAAAGACTTCCTTCATTTTGTATCGATTCCTGCTCCCAGTTGTAATTGATAAACGTATAGTAATATGGCAAAAAAAAACGAATAAATATTTATTGCAAAAACATTTGGAGTGACCCCTGTATATAAAATACCGTTAACACAACAAATAATTCATAGTAAACGGTTTGCGGATTTCGACAATTTAGAAAGAGGGAATCATATATCGCCGCAACTCTTTTTTATTAACGTTCCCCTTCTATCCTAAAAATCTTCAAAAGTCTCCACCAAATCCTTTGAACTGTTTATAGTTGATTCTTTATATTTATTCAATTACGTAAATTTCTTTTAAGATATTTTTGTACTATATTATATTTGAAGTTAGGATCAGACATGACGTGGCCACGCGGTGCTATTGAAACGAGGGCGATAGAGGCGTGGTAATTTTATTTTCTTTTAATTTATTTTATATTAAAAACGATATATAATCTCTCCTTGTTTGTACACTATAGTTAGCTGAAGAAAGGCTTGCCCGAAAGCTTCCTTAATCGCGTTAATAAAAAAGAGTTGCGGCGATATATGATTCCCTCTTTCTAAACAACAAATAATAACTTATATTATCAATAGATTGTTGCATTCATTTAGCTATATATTTATATACGTATACAAAGCCTTTATTAAGACACCGGTCAGATTGTCCTCTCTCATTGCCGGCTTACAACGATATCCTCACGATGATCAATCACCATCATGTAGTGGAGGAGAAAACGATTATTCTAAGTTCTTTTTCCTGTGCACACTACCTAGAGTACACTACCGAGTACACATTACCCAGTACACACTACACGCTACACATTACCCAATAAACACTACCCAGTGCACACTACACGCTACACATTACCCAATAAACACTACCCAGTGCACACTACACGCTACACATTACCCAATAAACACTACCCAGTACACACTACACGCTACACATTACCCAATAAACACTACCCAGTACACACTACACGCTACACATTACCCAATAAACACTACCCAGTACACACTACACGCTACACATTACCCAATAAACACTACCCAGTACACACTACACGCTACACATTACCCAATAAACACTACCCAGTACACACTACACGCTACACATTACCCAATAAACACTACCCAGTGCACACTACACGCTACACATTACCCAATAAACACTACCCAGTGCACACTACACGCTACACATTACCCAATAAACACTACCCAGTGCACACTACACGCTACACATTACCCAATAAACACTACCCAGTGCACACTACACGCTACACATTACCCAATAAACACTACCCAGTGCACACTACACGCTACACATTACCCAATAAACACTACCCAGTGCACACTACACGCTACACATTACCCAATAAACACTACCTAGTGTACACTACACGCTGTAAACATATGTAACCTTTCTCAATCTTTCGACCCCGTCCTTTGCATAATTTTAAATCAATGGGTCCAGCATAGTCTACCCCACTTACTGTAAATGACTTTCAAGGAGTCAACCGTTCTTTGGGCAGATCACTCATCAATTGATGTTGAGTGACTCGATTGTAGCGACAGCACGTCAGACAATCTCTTATACATTTCTCGATTTGATTTTTCGCCTTTAAAATCCAATATTTCTGTCTAAGGTTGGCCAACACTAGATGCACACTGCCGTGTAGAGTTCTGTAGTACGCATCTCGGATAATCAATTGACTCAACTTTCCTGCGGATGGCAATAATGCAGAATGTCTTTGATCATAGGGGACCTCTGGAGCCCATCTTATCCTGCCTCCGACTCGGATAATGCTCTTTTCATCAAGAAAAGGATTCAGAGCCACTATCTTACTATTTTTTCTTATCATCTTTTGATTATGCAAATTCTTCAAAACAATAAAGCTGAACGTGGAGGAGTATCATCACTCCACGCTGCAGCGACAAACTCCCCCACCTGGGACACAGACACCTGGGGCTAAAATAACTTTGTTTGCTACATCTCCGATAACTTCCTGCTCGCCAAACAACACAAATATTTTCACCGCTCACAGAGAGGTAAACATTAGCCTTGAACGACCTCTTTTCTAATCTCATTCAAATTGTTTTCTATTCAGAACTAACGATTAACAAACGCTTGATGAAACAATAAAAATTTCGTTTATGATTACCTATCTGGACATACTATTTGAAATTTGGTCCAAAAGTACCAAACTTATTGTATTGAGGTAAGTTTAGAGCCAGTAGAAGAAAGAAAGAGTTATACAACCAGTATGAGGACACTCATGGATAAAACTTAAGGAAGTTTCATATCTTTATGTCGCAGGTCATCGGTATTTTTTTTTTCTTTTGAAGGAGACAGAGACAATTTTGTTTACACTTGGTTATCTCGTGTGTCTTTAATAAAGGTCACTGTAATATCTTTCAGAGTTATTTTCTGAATCCCTATATACATGCTAAAAGGTACAACTTCCTTAGTTTTGTCCACTGGTGTATACACACTTGGTTATCTCGTGTGTCTTCAATTAAGGTCACTGTAATATCTTTCAGAGTTATTGTCTGAATCCCTATATACATGCTAAAAGGTACAACTTCCTTAAGTTTTGTCCATGAGTGTATACACACTTGGTTATCTCGTGTGTCCTCAATAAAGGTCACTGTAATAGCTTTCAGAGTTATTGTCTAAATTCCGATATGCATGTTAAAAGGTACAATTCCTTAAGTTTTGTCCATGAGTGTTTACACACTTGGTTATCTTGTGTGTCTTCAATAAAGGTCACTGTAATATCTTTCAGTGTTATTGTCTAAATTCTGATATGCATGTTAAAAGGTACAGTTCCTTAAGTTTTGTCCATGAGTGTATACACACTTAGTTATCTCGTGTGTCTTCAATAAAGGTCACTGTAATATCTTTCAGAGTTATTGTCTAAATTCCGATATGCATGTTAAAAGGTACAATTCCTTAAGTTTTGTCCATGAGTGTTTACACACTTGGTTATCTCGTGTGTCTTCAATAAAGATCACTGTAATATATTACAGAGTTATTGTCTGAATTCCAATTTAATGCAAATAAGTATAACTTTCTTAAGTTTTGTCCATGAGTGTTTATGAAAGAAAATCTTAGCTTCAAAGTTTTAGAAGTCATTTATTCAATATCAATCTATTCTTGAGGATAATAATAACCTTTGAAATTGTTATTTACTTTGAGATTTCACTTTGAAGAGAGATCTGTTAACTCGAATATATGAATTTCCAGCCAAGAGCTGTATCCAAATTTTGACCAGCAATGTATAAAGTAGACCAGACGACCATACTTAGAACAAAATAGGAAGAACAATGTTTCGAACGTTTTTCGGGATACAATTGGACCAGACTTTTTTTTTTCTTTTTCCCTCCCAGTGTTCCCAGGCGGTTACCATCCCTAGCAAAAACTTGGTCGCAACAAATTTAAGGTTGGTTAGAATTTTTTGCGGCGGTGGTGACCCGTAAAAAGTCTGAGCGGACCAGAACTTGTTCCCACCCGCGGTCTGAACCGATAAACCTACCACCGTCGGTTCGTTCTTTGACACGTCACACTCATCTATTGTCTTTTTATATTGATATCTTTTGGGATGATATTGACTGCATGTGACAATTTACCATACTTTTATTTCAAATTGTTGGAAAATATTTGGTTTAAAGTTATAACAAAGCCATGTGTTGATTCATATAAATGTTTTTTTTTTTTTTTTTTGGAAAACATCCTTATAGGGGCAAATTTTCATTCTAAAATACATAACTGAGATTGAATATAGAATTATTACCCTCATAGACAAAACTTAAGGAAGTGTGAAGTCTTTTATGTCACCTATCTTCTGTTTTTATAAAGGAGACAGAGTTTGTTCACACTTGGTTATCTCGTATGTCTTCAATAAAGATCACTGTAATATCTTTCAGAGTTATTGTATGAATCCCGATATACATGTTAAAAGGTACAACTTCTTCAAGTTTTGTCCATGAGTGTATACATACTTGGTTATCTCGTATGTCTTCAATAAAGATCACTGTAATATATTCAAGAGTTATTGTCTGAATCCCGATATACATTCTAAAAGGTACAACTTCCTTAAGTTTTGTCCATGAGTGTATTTACATATTTATGCATTAGCCTACGTTCCTTTTCCGCTGGCTTTCCGACAATAATAGAAAAGTTGTACCATTCTGAAATATTTGTTGACTACGCAAAGAAGAGATAATGTAAATGCAAAGAATTGTTGATAAAGCGTTCGCTATATCTTGAGACTAAAAGAACGATAAAATTTGATATGAACTAGCATCAGAAATTTGGTCTCCTACTTTGATAGTAAAAAGACTAAGCAATCATTAAGGTAAAGCTATAAGTACTTTGAGTTGGGTAAAATAAATGTTTAATGTTCTAATGAACATTTTGCGAAATGTTCCCCAATCCTTTGTGGTTGGTTACCCAACACTGACAACTTCTCCGACTTTCCTCTTTAACTACGGCCATACTACGTTGAAAACACCGGTTCCTCATCCGATCACCAAAGTTAAGCAATGTCAGACCTGGACAGTACTTGGGAGGGTGACCACCTGGAAACACCGGGTGTAACTGTAGGCTACTTCTTTCCCCAAACTCTACAGCGGTGGCTGAGACGCCATATACATTGTACATAGTATCATGCATATATATGATTATCATTTTAAATAGTTCAAACTGAACACTTTTGAATGTATTGACAATATGTCAATCACAAAACAGTTTATTGTATTCGTATTACAGCCTGTGTTAAAGGATGTTATTGTTCGAAATCTTACGCCAAGTTTATATAGCTTCAATAAAGAATCTTGTCGCCGTTATCTTTTATTCTTTCTTATAAATGATATCAGACGATTCCTCTCCTCTTGCAATATAATTTACTGCACCAAAATATGCATATTTTCAATTAGAAATGTATTAAAGCAATGTTTTTGGTTCATACTTCTCTTAGGTTTATACTTACGTAACCTACATTTAATAAAAAATGACAAATTTGAATAAATAATACATAATATTTTACATATAACCAATACTACTTATCTAATGTTCACTGGCCCACAGACTCTTCAAACGAATCCCAAGTCAATTGTAATTAGAAATCAAGTAGATGAAATTCTACGTAGACAGTTACATGTAGATGACAACATAACATGTTAGACTACCCTTTCAAAGAAATATTACTTAAGGGTTTCAAGAGAGCAATTATCGTAGATTGAAGTGTCTTTACTAATAGTGGACAAGTTGCGAGTTTCCGAAAAATAAAATTTTCAACTGCCTGGTTCATTGTAAAAGATGGTAATCGAATTTTGCCATCTTCAAATGAAATATTAGTTAAGGGTTTCAAGAGAGCAGATCTTGTAGATCGAAGTGTCTTTACTAATAGTGGACAAGTTGCGAGTTTCCGAAAAATAAATTTTTCAACTGCCTGGTTCATTGTAAAAGATGGTAATCGAATTTTGCCCCTTCCAATGAAATATTACTTAAGGGTTTCAAGAGAGCAGATCTTATATATTGAGGTGTCTTTACTAATATTGGACAAGTTGAGAGTTTCCAAACACATATCTCTTCAACTGCGTGATTCCTTGTACAAGGTGTTCCTCTCATTTTTCTTCTTTCCATGGAAATATTATACAAGGGTTTCAAGAGAGCAGTTCAGGTATATTGAAGTTTCTTTACTAATAGTGTACAAGTTGCGAGTTTCCAAACACATATCTCTTCAACTGGGTGATTCTTTGTACAAGATGGTCCTAGGTTTTTACCAATTAGAGCGTTACAAAATGATAATTCGTAAGAAGAGCGTTAATAGCCAGAAGAAAAGCGATCGAATTATTGTAGCATGTCCACTAATAGAAGACACTTCAACTTACATTCTAAGGATTATTCCTGGTACATGGGCTATATTGGCTGGATAGATGTATCGAATAACTTCCACCTACATTAGTCAGTCTACTGGAGGAATTAATTCGTCCATTCCACTAATTAGCACCAAGAGCTATCTGGGTCCACGTCCTGCGGAAACAAGCAAACCGCCATTTTCGCGGAACCAACAGATCAACGAACAATCCTAAAATACTCATTGAACAGACGATACACCTCAATAAAACTCAATCTATATAAAGTACCTATAATCTAATTTTAGAACTCTATTTAATAATATTGTGGCGAAGAATTAATTTATATTTTATTATTTAATTTAATTAATCAATAAAAATACTCAACAGATTATATTACTCTGTATTTGTAAAATCACCATAAATGTTCCATAGCTTGTTTGTTCAATATTCTCTAGCTGTATATAGTTTTTATCAGTTGCCCAGCATTTGAACTACAGCGATTCCAAACGGTTACACTTATTGGATTGCCCTCATTCAATGACACTGCCATATTGAATCTACCAAGACCAGCCTGGGTAGACTTGGTGAAACCCTACTAACAGGACATGGATATGTTCAAGCCGATATGGCCAGAATTAAACATGATCCAACATGTCCACACTGCCAAGAGGAAGATCAAACCGTAGAACATGTCAGCTGCCCAGCATTTGAGCTACAGCGATTCCAAACGGTTACACTTATTGGATTGCCCTTATTCAATGACACTGCCATATTGAATCTACTAAGAAACAAACCGGTCACTCGATGAACTGGTTCACTAAGGCTACCAAGACAGATTCCTAAACCACAGGATAGCCCAGGTAGTTGGCGATCTAAGGATACACTCCAGGAGCCTGGGTTACCTTTACGTTACTGCTACTACTGAGGTTTTGTTGATAATTGTCGACTAGTCGTACTGACGTCATCAATAAATAGTTTTACATCTTAAGATATTCTAAGACTCGATTTCTTCGCTACAATATATATGCATATAGTGTTTTTTAATAAATAATAAATTCTAAAGATAAAATCCTATTAAATGTAAGTCATATACTACTGTAGCAGGGTTCATGATACCCGAAAGCTTGAGAAAATGTATAAATAGAACAAGGAACTTATTCTCAGTGAGAGAAGTCGTTTATTGTTATTTATATACAGTTAAACCTGTCTATAGCGCCCCCTCTAAATAGCGCCTTCCTCTCTATAGCGCCCGATTTTAAATACGTAGTACGATGCGATTTACATAAAAAGTGACCTGTCTATAGCACCCTATTTTGGTGAGTCCCAAGAGGGGGCGCTATTAAGATGCGAATGTTTCCCTTATACATCAATCAAATCTCTACTGTCCTTACTGCGATGAAAAATATATATTGGGAAGGTTTGGTTCATCAGTGGTGAACCCTATGAGTTTCCTTTTATTTTTTATTGTAATATCAAGCTTTCGGGCATTATAATGCTCTTTTACAGGAGTATAAAAATGAACAATGTAAAACGCCCATTATAGTTCAATGTTGTACTCCTGTAGAAGGGCGGTAATACCTGAAAGCTTGAGATTGCAATGAACATGAAAAGAAACACATCTCCAGAAACCTTTTGTCTTATTTAATTCATATACGAGATATTCACATCTATTGCATTGATATATAAAATAAATAAATAGTTTATATAGCCAGTTTTACCAAAACGAATATGATTATTTTGTCCAAGCAATCTTGTAGTAAGTTCTCCTATGTATCTACACAGGAATGAAACCTGCTCTATGAAGCCATGGTGGTAATGTGATGTATGTGTGGATACAGACCTCTACGTCTACGTAAGTCTCTGGAGTGTGGCCATGGCAGCACCTCTACCCCACAAGCCACGCTGGGTCAATCCCTGCTCGCTACCCGGACATGTCTTTGACGCCGCACACGATCACGTGCCCCCTTCTGCTATCTCAGAACGAGAAATCTTCTCCAACATCATCGAGAGAGCTCTTGTCGCTCACAACCACGCCACACACGCCAAGAACCTATTTGTAAGTACCTCCATTCTTCTTGCCGTCACACAATACTGAGTAACAACCTTTCTTTATTTCTGTGACGTTTCGATCACCCGCTGTCATCTTTAATCAAACTCAGTTAACTACTACTATAGTAGTTAAAGATTAGGGTTCATTTCGTTGTATACTCCTGTTGAAGGGTTCGTGATACCCGAAAGCTTAAGAGATAGTTTAAATAAAGCAAGAAACTTATACTTGGAGACAGTGTGTTGTTACAACCAATCCTATATTGTCTATCTCTTCCCAAGTTACGTCAGAATCAAATAAAAATAAAGGTTATGAATAAGCGATAGAACTCTTCCTGTTTAGATAATCGAATAAAGTAAATCACGAAGGAAGATGAGTTTCTTTTTAATAAACGCGAGCGAGCTTTCAGGCCACACGCCCTTCTACTGGCAAAAAACCAAGAGGTAAAAGGTTAAAGTGCATAATTATTCATAAATATATATAACAAACAACAAAGCCTTTATTAGGGACACTCGTCCCATACAGGATTCTCCTAGATGTGGGTTCATACACATGGGTATAAACGTTATTCCCTCATGTATAATAAAATATAATAAACAATGCTTCCAGGGCGGAGTTTCTTAGCATGTTGAAGGGATGACAAGTCCACGAAAGCTTGAAAATAAAAAGTCACAAGAAACTTAGTCCTAGAAGCATTGATTATTTTATCATAGATTATACTGCGCATCAAATATCTTTCAGAGTTATTGTCTGAATCCTGATATACATGCTAAAAGGTACAACTTCTTTAAGTTTTGTATATGAGTGTTTCTTTTAGAGTTATTGTCTGAATACCTATATACATGCTAAAAAGTACAACTTCCTTAAGTTTTGTCAATGAGTGTTTCTTTTAGAGTTTTTGTCTGAATCCCGATATATATGCTAAAAGGTACAACTTCCTTAAGTTTTGTCTATGAGTATCTTTCAGAGTTATTGTCTGAATCCCGATATACATGGTAAAAGGTACAACTTCTCTAAGTATTGTCCATAAGTGTAAGTAATATGATTCCTCGATGTTTTGCGAAGCAAATTCGCAGATCACTGTTGAATCCATTCTGCCGAAAGTGTTGTTTCACGACATCCGAGGAGCTAGCGCCGTTAAAGGTCCTCAAGTAGCCTGATAACTCCAATTATAGCCATGTCATCTATTCCCGTCCCCGCCGCCTGTTTGCCTAATTTTTACATCGTGATTGCAACCCTGGTCGAAACAGATTTCGATTGTGAAGTTGCACCTTGCGAGAAACATGCTTGTTAAGAATGCTCATCTAATTCTGGCTCCGGAATCTGCTCGACCGTCGGCTTCTGCTTAAAGGTTTCGCTTCCCTTCCAACATTTACTGGAACACCTCTTAGCAGGTTCACCAAGAGGATGGGTTATACTTACATCGTCCTCTCAAGTCCCATCTCGAAATTTTTCCAGGCTCATTTACAGAAGAAAAAATGGAGATGCTGAGTAAAAAAGTTTCATCCAGAAAGACTGCATCATCCATCTCACCTATCAACAAAATGGCGGCATCTTCCTAATCAACCAAAACACACGAACATCAGACCATTACCCAACTACAGAAGAGCTGGGTCTTTGGACGAGGATTCAATAATGACGTCAAAACCATTCTATCGTCTGCTATACATCTACAGACATCTTCTAAGCCTTAAGATGAG